CAAAACAGGTTTGATGCCTTAGAATTCATCGCTATCTACCGACGAACTATAAACCAACCACTACTAACGAAGGCAGAAACGATCTACCCGTGAATCAACCAACGCTGGATGACTGAAATGAACCCTTCCCTATGCACCTCTTCTTTTAAAGAAATATTCACATTACATCTTAATACACTCATCATATTACTCACTTCTTCTCTCACGAGGAAGGTTTTGATAATTCCCACGCTTGCTCAATTCAGGTAGAGAATTACAAAGTTATAATTAGAAATTATAAGTCCTTTCCTTCCTTTCCTCACAATGTTTCCCTTTACCGTTTTTCAGTATTAGCTAAATAATCTTAGAAAATACATATAACTCGTAAATAGTGACATTGGTACTTGTCATTGGTAGGCTTCGAAATTGCACCCTCAAACATGAGAAGCGGGCGTTTTAGGCCACATCAACTTTCTACGAGATGTATGTAAAACACTGGATACGATATTTATGTCAAGTTGTTATTTACCTTAAACCTGAGATCTCCAACAGGAGGCTTGGCATAAGGAATGCCTTTAAAGCTGTAGTACTTCGCTTCACCAGTAACTGTGTCCAGTAATTCCCCACGTAATTGACCTTGAGCCACTTCTACTTCAACATATTCGCAGGAAATCCATTGTAGGACGCTATAGAGTAAAAATAAATAGTTACTTTATGCAAATTGTATAATAAGAAACATTATTAACTTTATTTGAATAAGTTAATTTAAAATCAATACGAAATAATACTATTTTTTACTAGTTATTTGTTCAATAATTCATTCACATTGTATGACAGTAAAACCATAAAATTAAAAAAAATATTAACACATGGAACGTGGCAGAGAATAAAAAAATGAAACTCACCAAGAAAGAAATATAAAAAAATATGTCTTGGCGTCCATTATTAAGCTTTGTACTGATGTCAGATAAATCAGTCATCAAGCCTTCTTATATACGGTGATAAATATTCGAAATATACAATACGATTACATATTCATTAGTCAAATATTTAATCAATAATTGGATAATTATGCAATTTAAAAATGTAATATCATCTTCGATACAAAATTTGATCAGCTCGATGTAGTGTTGGTAGAGGAGAATGGGCAAAACTTAGTATTGTCAGTCAGTACCCAATAAGATTGCACATTGAAAATAACGTTGGCGCGGTGAACTTGCAGAAAATAATACAAAATGTAGGTAACTGATGGGGGCTATCATCCAGATGGCATTAGTGTGGCACTATGAAACTTTCGTCCAATAGAGAATTAGCTACTGCCACATATCTGGACATTCAATTTTTTAAACCCACTCAGAACTAACATAGTTTTGTTAGCGCTAGGTATCTGTATTTTTAGGGTATAAGCCGGTAAACAAGCAGACGGATCACCTGATGGTAAGCAATCGGCGTCGCCCATGGACACCTGGAACACCAGAGGTGTTGCAAGTGTCTTATCCGGTAAGTCCGGGTGTCATCACTGCGAGGACCGCTGCGTAGGCCCCGATGCCCTGCGTGGGCTGAGCACCGCCGTGCCCACAGGGAAGTGATCGGCGATGGCGACCTCTCGCGTCCGGGCCTAGTGCAGGTCATGATGCGGAGCGAGGGGGAATGAGATGCCGTCTCCTCCTTTTGCGAAGCAGTCATGCTAGCTAAGGAAGAGGTGGGACGCGTGAGGTTGCGAAGCGCTGCCTCCTCGCAACCCAGCCATCGCGAAGGACACACCGGGCGTCGGGGATCGCGGGACGATCTCCGGCCACCGTCAGCGCGGGCCTGCGGGCGGCGAGCATGGGTCTCCGTCCGACCAGAAACAGACCCGAGCGTACGGCGCGTCGCGTTCCGCGCGCACGTCAAAGAGGCATCAGACCACCACAGATGGGGCCCAACAGGGCCGATGCCGATTCGGAGTCGCGGAGAACCTCACGGGTAACCGGGGCTCCGGCTCGACGTGCAGAAGAAGGAACGGGGTGGTTTTTAGTCAGTAAGAGTCTGACACTCCCCCCGCCTCACCCAGGCGGGAGCAGTTATACGATGATTTTCCACCCGTAAAAAAACCACATTTAAATAACGCCACATTTAATAAAGCTATAAATTCCATGATTTAAATAGCATTACACACAGAATTGATACGAATCATGCGATTTAAGTTTCCGTTGTGTACTACACACGTCTACACATCAATTTGCATGAAAGTAGACATATATTAGATTTTTAGGAAGGTACTCATCGGTAATTCACTCTTACATGTGGCAATAGGTTCAACCTCATAGGGTATATTACTATAAAAATAATATTCAATTTAAATTTTAATACAAAAAAAACTTTGAAGAAAAATTTTAAATTGGAAAGGGTACATTTTCGTCAATTCTTCTTAAAAAAGTAATGTGGTATATTAACTGGTTCAAATGCTATATAATTATGCGAGTGTTTCTAACGAACAATCAAAATGAATACATTACTTCTTTAAAAATTCACGGTTTTTGAGTGAGACTAATTTTTAAACTGATATTTGAACAGAACAAAAGTATCAATTAATATCATAATTTTCATGTAAGACAATGTAGGTAATTAAATATACATAGAATTATAATTCACAGTGTTACGGCTGTTAGTACATTATATCCATTAATACATAATGGATTCAGGCATATGGTATGTTAAGTAAGCTATTTTATTTTCGGAAATTTCTAGAAACTGTGCTGTACTTACGTGGAAGCTGAGTGCCTCAATAAAATAATACGTATCTTTTACGAAAAGGCTTTATTTTTAAATGTGTTTATTTATTTATACTATAGAATACAAAATGTGGAAATGAGAAAAAAGATATCCCAAATCGTCACAGTGGCTACTTAGGTACAAGTTGTCGTTTTTGAAATAAGAATTTTCAATTCTTTCAGCTTCCATTGTATGAGGAATAAGTTACATGTGATCAGCGCCATCAGATGACGAAGGCCAGTGGAAAGGCCCAGAAGGAAACCTAAAGTCTAATAAACGTCACGCAACATTTCCAATCAATATATCATCTAAAGAATCTGTGTCCGTGAGAAAATAAAAAAAATACGTGTCCAATGATTTTAAATAATCTATCAGACGGACATTAAAATAAAAATTGGTTATCTACTCTATTATATATTAGGATTCTTCTGACAGACAGGAGTGATAAACGTCAATTTTTTTTGTGGGAGTAGCCGGTAAACGATCAGACGCATGTCTTGATGGTAAGCAATCAGTGTCGCCCATGGACACCTGGAACACCAGTGGCGTTACAAGTGCGTTACTGGCTTTTTGAGATTAGGAATTTGAGGATTGTTGAGTACCCAGGGATTGAGAAAGGGGGGGGGGGATAACCTCACGCGACGAATCACAACGCAAGCGTTGTTTCACGTCGGTCTTTTATGAGGCCGTGGTATCATTTCGGTTGAGCCAACTCATTCGTGACGAAGCATGGCTCTCCCACACTTGTTACAGTTAATCAGATTTGAGCTCTTTTCATAACTAATGGCTCATCATCACTGTTATGGGATAGAAAACCCTCATCGCGAGTACGAACGCGAGTCACTTATTTCCGAGAAGACCATTTGCTAAGATAGATCAGATTTTCAACATAAAAAGCTTCTTTTGAGTTACTGATTACCAGTGATCGGAATAAGATGAGTGTATTTACCTACAGTTCGTAGAACAGAGACAAAAATCGGCGACTTCCTTACAACAAAAAAAAAAATGTTTACCGGTAAATTTACTTGAAATTTAATTATGTGAATTTATAAGTCTTATTAATTTAGTTAAAACATTTTATTAAATTTATTATTAAATTAAATTAATATAAACCTGATTACATTGGGTTTTGGTGGAAAGTCAATGCAAAGTCATAGTCTGAACTGTGATCACCGTCTTCTGCAACTGTTATCTTAGGAACATATAGCCTTTTCTAGCCCTTATTATCGATACTAGGTCTGAATATACGTGTGCGACTCATTTTTGAAATGTGGAAAGTCAAGGATAACTTTTTCCACTTGTGGCCACTGTACCCAAGTTGGCACAGCTAAGTTTCGGATGTCACAAAAGCGCACATTGTTATTACATATACCTGCAATATATTGATAATCATTAATTATTTATTAATTTCAAATACTATTAGGAATTATATTGTTTATTGTATGAAAACTATTATTTCTTTGAAAAAGAATTAACATAATAATTATCTCCATGCGTGCCAACAAGAAATTTTAACAAGTAATTATGATTATATACTATATATAACTATTTTTTTGTATTCTACAGGGTGTAAACGGAACGCTCTCGAAAAACGGTTAAATTGTAAGACCATTTTCTTTTTGTGAGCGTCGGGGGTCGTTTACATCCTGTAAATTTATGTACTGCTCATAACTAAACTCCTATATTCTATTGAACTTTTCATTTCTACCCTCAATTATTAAGGGTTTCCTAATTGGCACAGCAACCAAGAATGGAGTTGGAAAGGTGAAAATGATAATTCATGCAATGTACTTCTCTGTACTCTCAATTATAATGATCTATGTATGCGAATTAACAAAAGTATTAAAACTATTACACTCATATTTTTTTAGTGTCAAACAATAAATTATTTCTTAAAAATTTGCTGGAAAAATATTAAGTTTGAGTTGGTTATAAAATAAATTTGTGAAAGTGTCATTATTTTTTAATATTTAATTGTATTGAACAGTCGCAATAATACCTCTATATTTAAGGAAAGTAATAATTTGTGAAACAATATCAGCTATGTCTTATACATTATGATGGCACCCATTGTGCTTTTATTTTGCTAAACTGATTAGAAAAAAACATCAAGTAATTAATTTAATCTTAATTATATTCAGTTTTTTAATTGATTCTAGGTATTATACAGCAGTGACAAGGACACAGGTGGCGACTTCTTACCAAAGAATTGTAAAAATTTTAGCAATAAAATACCTTTTAAAATATTAAATCAACATTTATTCAGCTCTTTTTACCAAAAGTAGACAAGACATTTTAACAATGACAACATAATCATTTAAAGAAAAACAACAGAAGCCTGAAACTAAAAGCTGTGTTGATATAAAGTGAAAAATGACCCTGGATATTGGTCATCATATCAGTATGGGTAGATAGGGTGGTTCGCCTGTTCGTAGATGCTGTCCCAGAATGCAATGTCATCACTGTTAGGCCCTTGTTTACAAGTCATAGAGTCTGTGAATTCTACATAGTTCTGGCTGTCAACGTCGAATTGAGGGCAGTCAGCGGAAGGTTTGCTGTAACAAAAATAAATAACGTTAATATAACTAGTATATTTAAAACATTAATCTATAAAAAATATTATTGAGTACAATATCAAAAAAATAGTGATGTTATATTTGTGTTGACACTAATTAAAATAATATCGTTTGGAACGTACCCAGTCGCTGCAAAGTTGGATAGACTGCCTACAAATTGTGTGATAAGAGCGTATTCCTCGCTGTCAGCGCTTACAACCATATTCAATGGTTTAGGGTCAAACATGTACAAGACGGTGTCTCCATGAGAAGCTCCTGTAATGCCGTACTTCTGTCCCTCATTACCGTACACGTTCCTGCTTGAAACACTACTGAATTTTAACAAATACGTATCAGTAAGTTTAGAAACCTTTTGTGCGAATTTCAAAACATCGTATATCATGCAGGAGTGGCTGTTGCACTGAACGAATTCTTTCATGTTATCTACGCTCACTTCTTTATCTCCCAAGTAATACTCTTTGATCGAATTAGCGATTGCCAGTTTTTTGTCCTCAATGTCCTCCTGGTACAATATTTTGTTGGGAACGAAAAGTAGTGGGTCATTCTTGAAGAGGTTCAACATGTAATCGGCATACTGATTAACGACAATCAAAGCTTCTTGGTCAGAATATCCAATCAAGACTTCAACTTTGTTGACCAGTCCATTTTCTAAAGCGCTCGCAATATCCTCGCTGATAAATCTATCTTGACCAAAATCTTCTTCGATAACTGGCACAAATGTAGACATTTTCTTCAACAACTGACTATGCTTTTCTTCATCAGATGAAACGTATACCATTTTGTAAATCAGATCTTCATAGGGTAAACTTTGAAGGTAACTTAATAACTCCTCTGCAGATTCACCATCATATCCTAATTGTTTGCCAAGGAGGAAAGATTTTTCCTTAACTTTATATGAGAGTATAGCATCACAAGTAGGTACTCCACTAAGCATAATAGCCCTATGGAATAGTCCTGTGGATAATGGTGACATCAAGTGATGCGCAATTGCTGCTGAACCAGAACTTAACCCAGCTAAAGTAACGCTGTCTGGATCACCTCCAAATGCTGCAATATTCTTTTGTACCCATTCAAGAAGTAAAACTTGATCTCTCAGAGCAGCATTTCCGGGAACGTCTTTAATTCCAAGGTTTAGAAAACCGAGTACATCCTTTCTGTGATTAAATGTGACTACTACCAAATCTTTGACCAAATAATCAGCTCCATAGAGATTTTCATAATCTCCATCAAAGAAGTAGGCAAAGCCAGACATGTAGACTATAACGGGTGCCTTTCCTGTTAAATTGCGAGTGTATATGTTAGCGGAGAGACAGTCTTCACTGCCAAGTTTCAAGATGCCAGTCAAGGGACTGAACTGTGGGCACATGGGTCCTAGAGCGGTCGCATCCCTGACGCCTTCCCATGATTCTGGTTCTTCGGGTGCCTGGGAATAATTGACATGAATTAAAAGTAGAATAGAAACGGAGTATTAATTAGAATACAATTACTATTAGAGAATATTTTTAGAAGCTGTGGTCTATAAATTAAAAATGGTTTGTGGGTGTTCAAATTAGCATGGAGCATTGAAAATTAAACATTGCTAGCAATTAGAGACTAATAGAGATATTGCAAAAATACCTTGAATCTCAGGTCTCCGACGGGTGGTTTTGCGTAGGGAACGTTTTCAAAACTGTAGAACTGATATCCACCTACGACAGCATCCTGGAGTTTGCCGCGCAACAATCCCTGTTCAACTTCAACTATGGGATCATCGCACACTATTGTTTTAAATGTGCTGTAATTAAACAAACATTGAAAAAATTAAAGAACTTTAAATGTTGTTCTACTACCAAAATGTAATTCGTAGATAATTAAAATTCATAGTATTATTTATTGACTTGACTAGACAACGAGTAATTTAAGTGAAGTAAAGCAAAAAGCGTTGGTTAGATAAAAATACAAAGATTCTTACCAGAATGCAACGAAGCATAACAGTAAAATATTCATTTTGTCCACTTGAGAGACCAAGTCAGGATACTGCATCGAGGAAGCTACAGCGGTATTTATACGCAAATTTTGTTTACATACCTACAATATGAACACTGTATTTGAACATATGAAAAAAACTTCAAAATATGTAAAACTATACCTATTCAAATAATGCACACATTACAAGGTAATTTTAATATTATATTCCAGTGTTTAATTGTTCATGTATGGTTACAGTATGTATGAAATATTTAAGAATGTTAGATGAATTGTATTTAACAATAATATTCCCCCATATGGCAATAAGCTCACCCCCTATTACAGGGGATTCATGGTGACTCAGTGCTGCAATGGTTCCGTAGAAATTTTAATTCATTTTTCGGCTAGCCTGTCATATTACATTTATTTATTTTCGGCCTTAGTCGTTCTACTGCAGGGTAAAGACCTCACTACCTTCTCTCCGCTCCCCTCTTTGTAGATCTTGCTGCTGAATTTACATTTATTATCCCTCGTAGATATTTTTCTACTACTACTACCGAGACTGGAGGAAGCCAAAAATCTAGCCCTCAGTCAGACAGTCATATTTGACTGCTCATGAGAAAGAGTCTCTGTGATTCGAAACTGGTAGAACTTTTCTCAGTATGTTTTTTTTTAAGACATAATCCGGTAAACGAGCAGACGGATCACCCGATAGTAAGCAATCGGCGTCGCCCATGGACACCTGGAATATCAGAGGCGTTACCGGCCTTTTGGGGATTAGGAGTTTGAAGATCGTTGGGGATTCAGGAATTGGGGAGATTGGGGAAGGGGAGGGTAATTGGGCCTCCGATAACCTCACTCACAGGACGAAACACAACGCAAGCGCTGCTTCACGTCGGTTTTCTGTGAGGCCGTGGTATCACTCCGGTCGAACCGGTACATTCGTACCGAAGTATGGCTCTCCCATACTTAATGTTTTCGCGATTAAACCGTTATTTTTAGTTAATGAGTACTATGGGGTTTAACTTAGAAAAAAATATGCACATGCTATAAATAATTTTTTATTACAATTGCCTAGACACTGGGTCCCTAATGAAAATGGTTCAATAAGTCTAGTTATCATGAAAAGCAAGTAAATAAATGAAATTAATTGTTGTTTATACAGCATGTTAATATTGTGACTTAAGAATTTCTCAAGGTTAGGAACCTTGAGAAATTCTTAAGTCACAATATTAACATGCTGTATAGATAGCCTAGTATTTGTTGGGTTTGCAGTTAGTAACAGACAATTAAATTACTTATTTTTCTCAAAAGAATCAATATTGATGTTGATGTCTATTTTGTAGGTATGAGTACCCAGCAGTTGGCTGATGTTTTCATTATTCGGCAGACGTGTTCATAATAGATTGTGGTTATTATTTAAAATTATTGCCAGTTATAGTCATTGTGTATTTAAAATAACATAACATCACGCCTTTTACACCCGAAGGGGTAGGCAGAGGTGCACACAATGGCACTCAATGTCACTGTACAATGTAAAACCCACTTTTCTCTGAGTGCTTTTTTATGCCATAAGCCGGTAAACGAGCAGACGGATCACCTGATGGTAAGCAATCGGCGTCGCCCATGGACACCTGGAACACCAGTGGCATTTCAAGTGCGTTACCGGCCTTTTGGGATTAGGAGTTTGAGGATCGTTGGGGGTTCAGGGATTGGGGAGATTGGCGAAGAGGAGGGTAATTGGGCCTTTGGTAACCTCACTCACACGACGAGACACAACGCAAGCGTTGTTTCACGTCAGTTTTCTATGAGGCCGTGGTATCACTCCGGTCGAGCCGGCCCATTCGTGCCGAAGCATGGCTCTCCCACACTTAAAAAGTGTGAGGTGAGCCTATTTACATATACCGGTACAATTCCAGACTCTGAGCTGCTACTGAGGTGTTTTTTTAAAAACCGTGTAACATTTTGCCCGGGCCCGGAATTGAACCCGACATCCATTACCCGGCGCAGTCGCATGGACCACTCAGCCAACGAGGCAGTCTTTTTAAATCAACTTTTTCAAAAAGAGAACGTTGTTTTAAATCCGTCGTAAGTGGCACATCTAGCTTTATTTTTTTAAACGTTAATGTAATTTTTCCACGTTTCGTCCAAGCTCAATTTATGCGTGTGTTGCCAGTAATAAATTTTCCATATTACAGCGAGGGTTCCGGACCTCTGTGAGGACCAAGGTCAACGCTAGAGGGCTTTGCATTCAAAGGGATAAGTAATCAGTAAGCCAATACACGAAATTGATATTTTTCTGTGAATCTCGAAACTTATTGAGGGACTTAGATATAATATTGTAAATTGAGGAAGTTACTCTATTTCATGTTTGCGGATAAACTATTTGTAAAGAGTGAGTAGTTTTTACGATGTTGCACACTTTTGTCAATTGTTTGTGCTTTTGTACTGTTTAGCGCCCGAATACTGAAACGCTACTCAGTTTTAAGCTCGCGCTTAAGTAAACCTAGTTCTGTCACTACAAATTCTTTATAAAATGACAGAGATGGCACGATAATTAAATACAACTATACCTGGGCCTTTAGCCAAACGCCCCTTAGCGCTTGTCTACAGAGAGAGTAGAAATCAAAATGTATGGGGATGACACTGAGAAGTGTCAAAATTTACGTCAATCCCATATAATTTGGTTTTCTATTCTACATGTAGACAAGCGCTAAATGGCATTTGGCTACAGCTGCAGAATTTTCGGGCGTAAGTTTCATAAATACATCACGCCTCTATCAACCTGCTGAAGAGCAACCTGAGCTAAACTATTGAAGATAGTTTTTAATATTTAGATCCATCCATTAGATAGATCCGCAATATCGACAAAATGCCCATTTTCGGGCTTCAAAATTACATAAATCTACTATTTTTTATAGTTTTTTTTTTATACCACGACGGTGGGAAAAAAGCACACGGCCCACCTGATAGTAAGCGGTCACCGTTACCGTAAGATAGTTTACAATCTAACTTTTTTTAAATATTTTCAAAGACTTTTTACAGATTCATTAAAGAAATTTGACAATTAGAGTACCTTGATGAGTCTACATCTCTATATTGTTACTTTTCCGTCTCCCTGGCACAGAGGCGCCTTTCACTTACTATGGTAATGAGCAATCTGAGGACATGCCAGGATCTGTGCACCCACCTGAGGAAATAATATATCATTTTGATTTAAGATGGCGCGACAACGGTGCAATTAATTCTAACATAAATTGTTCAAAATATTTTGGATATATGCAGAATTTATTATGCAGTTTTGGTAGTAAGAACTGTTTTGTTTCCTTTGATAGAAGAGGCGTCGGAATTGTGTTCGCAACAGTTTTAATGAATGAATTTTGCGTCAAAATTATCGAAAATTATTGAATTATTAAAGTTTACATTCTAATTAATTAAGGTACGTAATTAAGGTTCAATTTCCAATAACACGTAGAAAATAAATATACATTTATTTACATTTCTCTTGTACACACGGCTACACATCAATCTATATAAAACCAGTTTATCCTGATGTCGCGTCGCATCATGTTTCCGCACATTTAACGTTCAATTTATACTGGTTATGTAAAACTCGATGTGTAGCCGTGTGTTCGTACACGAATTAAGAACAAAGTCAAATAAAAATCAAAGATTCTAACTGTTTGGACGTCAAATAAAAAAATAAAATAATTGTAACGTGCATACTTACTGACTTAAAAAGAACGGGAAACAATATTAATAAAATAATTAAATTACAAATACTTATTTATAAATTGGACTAAAACATCAAACACATGGTTACAAGGCATATGAAATACATTATTTTTTTCATTCTTTCACAAGCCGGTAAACGAGCTGACGGATCACCTGATGGTAAGCAATCGGCGTCGCCAATGGACACCAGCAACACTAGAGGTGTTAAGTGCGTTACCGGCCTTTTAGGGATTAGGAATTTGAGGATTATTGAGGATTCAGGGTTTGGGTGGGGTTAGGGTAATTGGGCCTCCGGTTACCTCACTCACACTACAACAGTTTTCTGTGGACCGTCGTGGTATCACTCCGGTCGAGCCGGTCCATTCGAAGCATGGCTCTCCCACACTATTTCTTAATCAATGTCACGCAGCCTACTGGCTGGCGTTGGCACTCGCATCGGTGTTGCTATTTGCGCTGCGAGCCCAACGTGCCCTCTGCCGGACACCACGAGCGTTTCCTTCCAACTCGGCGGCGGCGTGCTGGATGATGTTAAAGCGCACGGTACGTCCACCAGCGGCGCGGGTAGTGACATGGGTAGTTAATTTAGTATGTCTCACGATAGATATTATAAAAACAAATTCGTAATCCATCATTTAATAGACTAGGTGTAAAATGGATATCGATTAATCACTTCAAATAACCTACGTTCACCTACATGTTTAATTAAAAAAAGTAGAAAAAAATACAGTAAGCTTAATGAATATTTGGGCGTTCGTAATACCAAAAAAATAAGGAAAAAAACGTCCTGAGAGACTAACAAATTATTCAACAAAAATGTACATTAATTAAATAATAAAACTCGATGGAAACTGTCGTTAAAATTAATGAAACAGTACGGAAACTCAATAAAACATTCATCTTTAAGTTTTTTGTAAGTACTTACCTACTTTTACTTTTAATTTTTATCCTACAGAGTTTTATTTGAACCATTTTGCGTGGGTCTATGAATAAGTATTGAGAATTGTTCTCTATTGCATAGATGGATTTTTAAAATTATCAATATACTGACATTGTACATTTAAAATATGGCAATAGACTCACCCCCTATTACATGGGACTCATAACATAAATAGTGAAAAATGGGTGTTAAATTGTACAGTGGCATAAATTAATGTGCACCTCTGCCTACTACTTCTGATAAAAGGCGTGATGTTATGTTATACATTTAAAATCAATGATTAGTTATGGCTTAATACGAAAATCAATTTATTTTTCAACTTCTTACAAGAAATCTTTTGAAACAAAAGTAGTGCTCCAACTAAACATACGATGAAATCCCAC